ATAAGGTCAGAATAAAAAAGGCTTTATTAAATAGAACCGTACAAGTTATAAGGTCAGAATAAAAAAGGCTTTATTAGATGTGTTTTGAAGATGGTTGGTAAATTTTTATAAACAATTTGCACTAAAAATGGCGGCTGTAGGTGCTGGCAAGTAACAACACTATGTCTTTGAAAGGGCTACATGGCTGGACTGTTTTTTCATTAACGCATGGTCCTAAGACAAAAAATCAAAAATTTTCTCATTATACAGGGTGTTACCTGTAACGCTACTCACGATTTTTCTCCCACTTGCAGCCACCTTACGAAAAAAAGTTTAGAATAAAATTTGCAGGGTATGAAGTGCACAATAGATATTAGTAAAGCAAATGTTGAAAACAGTTTGTTCTCTTGGCAAAGTCAAGGTCACCTTGGGCTTTATAAATAGGAACATACATTTTATTTTATTCATAGCTTTAGAGGACATCGAGACGAATTCAAAACATATATTACATGATATTTTTATTAACATATTACTCGATTTACAGAAGTGGAAATGTGAAGTAAAAGACTGGAATATTATGTGATGGAAGGCGGCATATGTTACATTTTGAATATGTAATTAAATAAAGTGTATTTTTCTTATATTCTAGTCGCGTGTTTAAAAGCTAAGTACTTTACATTTTTCCACTTCTGTAAATCGAGTAATATGTTAATAAAAATATCATGTAATATATGTTTTGAATTCGTCTCGATGTCCTCTAAAGCTATGAATAAAATAAAATGTATGTTCCTATTTATAAAGCCCAAGGTGACCTTGACTTTGCCAAGAGAACAAACTGTTTTCAACATTTGCTTTACTAATATCTATTGTGCACTTCATACCCTGCAAATTTTATTCTAAACTTTTTTTCGTAAGGTGGCTGCAAGTGGGAGAAAAATCGTGAGTAGCGTTACAGGTAACACCCTGTATAATGAGAAAATTTTTGATTTTTTGTCTTAGGACCATGCGTTAATGAAAAAACAGTCCAGCCATGTAGCCCTTTCAAAGACATAGTGTTGTTACTTTTCAAAATGTAACATATGCCGCCTTCCATCACATAATATTCCAGTCTTTTACTTCACATTTCCACTTCTGTAAATCGAGTAATATGTTAATAAAAATATCATGTAATATATGTTTTGAATTCGTCTCGATGTCCTCTAAAGCTATGAATAAAAAAAAATGTATGTTCCTATTTATAAAGCCCAAGGTGACCTTGACTTTGCCAAGAGAACAAACTGTTTTCAAAATTTGCTTTACTAATATCTATTGTGCACTTCATACCCTGCAAATTTTATTCTAAACTTTTTTTCGTAAGGTGGCTGCAAGTGGGAGAAAAATCGTGAGTAGCGTTACAGGTAACACCCTGTATACCAAAATCTATGGAACATCGTACGGAAATTAAAAAATATTAATAATTGTTAATTTAGTGTAGATATGAACAAAAAGTTTCGAAAAATTACAGAAAATTCAGCATTAAATTTTTAATAAAAAGTTAAGTAGTTAATTAATCGAAAACTCCGTACGATGTTCACTGCGTTATATTATTTTGCACCTCTCCACGAAATTTCAAGTCGATTATTTAAAAACTTTTTGAGTTATTTGTCCGGCCAGTACGATAAAGTGATTTCGAGAAAAACGCGTTTAAAATTTTGACTTCCATTCAGCATAAGAATTGTGTTATATAACTTTAATCAGCGATGCCTGCACCATACATTTGGCCTTCTATATTAACATCCTCCACGTCCTTTTCCTTCTTGTTGGATCTGAGATTCAATCTCGACATTTTTGAAGCTTCATTCAAAGATCGTTCTGAAAACTCTATGCATCGGGCATTGGCTTGTAGGGAAAATTGTAACAATTTTCTCCAACATACATATCCAAGGCTTTCATTAATTCCATTATAGTGAATAGTCCATCTTTGAATATGCAAACAGATATTTTTTCGACGGATTCATGATGTCGACGGATGGCTAAGCCATAATACTCAACTCATCAATGAGTTTTCCTGACAAATTTCCCTTTCCTTCAAACCCTTTGTCTACTTTTTCAAATTGGGGGTCATTGTTTATTAACCTAGCTGAACCAGGCCTTTTGCCTTTACCCAGGTACCGTTCTCTATGCTCATTATTGCGCGCGTATCCGCAAGTTGCGCTGAGCCAACCACAGAGTGGTTGCTGTCCACTTAAAGAAATTCGTGTTTCCGACCTGCCCCCACTTGAAACTTTTTTTTCATATTCTACACATAATAAAGCATCATTTAAGCAAAAAAAAATCGATTTTTTCAAAATTCTAGAGTGGCGTTTCCCCTTAAGTTATGTTCCGGTTCTGATTAGTGTATTTCACTTTTGCATTACCATCAACAATTTTCCATGAACAATTATATAAGCAATTCAAACATTAAAATACGAATATTTTACGAACCGTAAGAAACCCATTGGTTTTGAAAATAGATATGGAATTCTCATGAAAAGTTGTATATGCATGTTACCGTGAAAGACCAAAATCTGGAGAATGTCGACTTTCGCCGGTGAATGTCAACATTCACATACATAGTCCCTTGGTGTATGTCCGAAATATTTGCTGAATACCCTTATTTCTGACTTACACCGGTAAATGTCAACATTCGCCATGCACTAATGGTGAATATTGAACATGTCGGAGATTTATATTTTCTTCTCCGTAATTCAGTCGCTATAAAACGTCGCAAGGGTGACGTAACTTTTGCGCCTCTTTTTCTGAGAGGAGTGACTAAGAATTTAAAACACATAGTACATTCTAAGGATACGTGTTCTTCCTCCGTGGTCTATTCTGGTGTGAGTTTCATATAGTATACTGAACAATTCTTCATTGGTAACATAATACCGTATATTCGTTTCCCCTGATTTTAATGGCACAATTAATTTCTTTTCATCATTCATTTTTAAAACATCAAAACGTTTTAATCGTCTGTAATCTAAAGGTGTGCTGCACTTAGTTTTAGCACAAACCATTTCAGAAAGTATTTTAGAGTACTTTTCTTGAGAAAAATAAAAACAATTGTCTTCTCGTTTACCCGCAATTAATGCATTTAACTTTTCAAGAAAAAGATCACGATTTACTGCAGTATCCATTCAGTATAAATTACGGCATCGGAAAAAAAAATTAAGAAAACGTTGCTCACATCATCAAAGTTTGCATAACACTGACAAAGCTGACTGACTCCCAGCAAAACAAAGGATTTGGCGGGAGAGAGTCAGTCGCCTCTTTATCGACTCCTCTCTTTTGGACTTTCACCAGAGCATACATGTGATTGTCGATATACACCGGTGAAGGTCCGAATGTACAAGAATGTAATGAAATATTCGATCTTTCACCGACGTATTTGATCTATGTTGACATTCACCGGTGAAAGTCGACATTCTCCAATTTCGGTCTTTCACGGTAACATGCACACAAAATTTCAGCACTCAACTCTATGGGGCTCATTCGGAAGTATATCCAAAATCATATGATGCTCATTTTATAAAGCAAATTAAAAATATGTAGTTATTAAATTGTTTTTGCCCGAAACATAGTAATGTCTCCCATATTGTCCCTACTGATGTGTCTACATCTATGTATTAATTATTAGTACACCTATATTTTCTAAATAAAAATCAGTCAATCGTGGATACGTAATGCGTCGCGCGACTCTTTTGATGAGACTTTTTAGTTTGACAATTCAGATTAGAATGTTATAATATCCTTAATTTTTTTTTCTTTTTCTTCGTTTATTTAAAAACGTTTTTATCATATTTGTGACAGTTTTCCGATTAAAATGACACCAAACATGACATAATTTGGACAATATTTACTTATTTAGTATTTATTGTGTAAATCACTTTACGTAAATAGTTTTTTATATTGTCCATAAAACATTCATCAATTTTTACATCATGCGTAAAACGTAATCTTGTACCTCATATTGTCGGTAAAATCTAGTAATGTGCCTTGATATGTCCTTAAGACATAGGCTTGTAATGTTACATTGTCCAAATACTATTAATGTATTGAATGCGTAATGTATGTAAGTATCTCATATATTTTTGCAACAATCTATTTTATTAATTAATTTCAAACGATTAAGAACATAAAATGAGTCGCAGACTCAGTAAGTATTAATAAGTAAATATGGTTCGAATTGTTTAGTTTCGTTTTCATCGCAATAATCTCACTAGTATACTAAAAACATTTTTGTTAGGAAAAAGTTAATGACCAAAGAATTTAAACTTTAATATATTAAAAGTGTCTTAAATATAAAATTCGATACATAGAAATTTAAATCTTTCGGTTCTCACAACTTGCTTCCTGTTCTTGTCTTTTATTTTGTATTCTTTTCTTTGTTCGGTAAACTACAAAGACAAGCTGCGAAACTGGAATTTCGATTTTGATATTCCCGCATTGTCCCATTTCGATTCCGAGCTAAGAGATTTGTGGTATTACTGTATGTTGAAAAGGTTGTTTTTTTTTAACTATGATGTACTTTATCAAAAAAATCTGTAACTGTCGGAGGATTATGTTAATATCTTTTTACTGTAAAAGCAAAAAAGTAATTACGCTTAAATTTTGGTACATAATCTATATTTTTTTATACTTTTTATAGTCCTTTATTTTTTCCACTCAAAATTTACTATAAAAAAGGCTAAAAAGATTCTCTAACAAATTTTTTCATGTCTACAAGGTTCTTGAACTTTTTGGAAATTTTTTCATTCCACCAAATAGGGAAAGTAGGATAAACTTCAATAATTTGTATTGCACTTGTAACTGTACTTCTAGTTGATATATAAGGTTGACACTTGCTTTACAATGTTGAATTTTGGTAAGCTATCATATGTTATATTACAAGGTAAAATTAGTTTAAGAGCACTTTTGACCACCTTACCCTGTTGTACCCTTTGTATGAAATAATAATAGATTTTATGATCATAAAAAATAATAAAATATTTTATTTATTTTATTAGGAATCCTCCATTGGAAGATATGTTGGACAATGTTTTTATTAATGAGGCAAGATTAGAGAAAGAAAGTGTCATGTATAGAATTATGAATGGAAATTTTACTGATCCATTTAAGAATGCTGATGAGGATTATAAAAATGTTAAAATTAATTTTATAAAGAATATAGATCCTGAGTTAAATGAAGAAAATAAAGACAATGAGATTGCAACAAGTGAAACAAAAAAAGAAAATCAATCAAAACAAAAAAAAAATGTCAGGTGTTATGTACCTGGTATTGTTAAACCAATATTTAAGTTCCCAAAAAAATCAAAGTTAAATACAGTACAACATGCAATGTGTTTGAGAGTTTTATTAAGATTTTCAGAAACTGGTAAACCAAAACTAACTCAAACAGAAAAAGAAGAATTACACAATTATTTGGTAAATAGAATATACTATTGTTAAAGATCATTGAGACAAGTTATTAGACAACATTAAAAATTATTATAAATAAAGTTTTATATTATTTTTTTAAACAGGATTTGCAACAGATAATATCTCAAGAACAAGATGAGTTCTTAGAATTTGCTAAAAGCAAATGGCAGGAAAGATTATTTAAAATCACATGTGAGGATTATATAAATTTATGTTGGAAATCAAAATTACAATATATTTATAAATTACCTAGATATTATTCTGAAGTTACAAATGTTCCATTTATAGCCAATAAAAATACTGAAGTAAAATTTATTTCTCTCTGTTTACAAATGGTAAATAATAATAAAGTTAATTAATAACCTAATATTACGTATTAATTTCATAAATATTTATTATTAACAGGGTGAGTTGCCAGAAATAATACTTCCATCTTTTATCAAACCATATATGTTACGTGTTAGTTCTGATCAGTTGCAAAGAAGATTTCGTCCAAAAAAAAATATTTGCAGTGAATCATCAGTTTCTTTTAAATTACCAGTAAGTGAAGATCCAAATTGCCAAAAATTGGCTGATAATAATAATGTGGATTTAGTAATTTCATCCAGTGGTCTTAATTGTTTAGTAAATAATGTTGATTCAAGTTATTCAAATTCCTGGATTTTACCTCTAACTATAAAAAGACATAATGATAAGAATGTCATCTATATCGACAAATCACCACCACCAGTTGCAAGTAATATTTCAGAAAAAAATAATTGGGTGTATAAATACATTCTTAGATATTTCCTTATTCCTAGAAAACATCAAACTTCTGAAAAGTAAGACAAATTTTTAATACATATTCCTACATATTGTGTTATTCCATTTAGTAATGATATTGTTATCAACATTGTTAATTGTTTAATGTCAGTATTGAAGGGTATGAGGATAATATATTTAGCAATATTAATTCCGAAGAACTGCTAAAATTGGAAGCAGAATATGAAAATACATTAACACAAGTTGACAACATATCAGATTCAACTATATTAAAAAAAGATAATATTGAAGATACTATAAATCAACCAAACTTTAGAAATGACATTGATTCCACGAGGAATACATTGAATTCTGATACATGTTCAAATATTGCTGTAGACTGTAATGCTTCAAGTTTTACACGTAATAATCAAGGTAATACTATTTATTCTTTTATTATTATTATTTATATTGTTATAAAGAAAAATATAAATCACATAGATAAAGTGAGTAATTTTATAAATTTGAAGGTACTAAACAAAAGATTTCTGAAATCTCATTAGAAGATAATGTATCTTACAAACTGTTTAGTATTGGTCCACAATCTTCAGAACAAAATGAATTAATAAAAAATGTCGTTAAAGAATACAGAATATTAGTCAGAACAAAAACAGATGGATTTGAGGTTCGTATGCACTACATAACGTTTAAAAATTTTATAAATGTTAAAATCCAACATAAATTTTTTTAATGCTCTAACTTCAATATACTTTTACTAAAACCATTTGGCGCAGTTATTCCGTGAACTACTTTTTTGAAAAAATATTGTAAATAAAATTACGTCAAGGGAAATATAATACGCGCGAATCCGAATCAGGTATAAACCTTTTTGAGTTATCAACATAACTCGAAGCTTTTGTAAATAGTATTCCAAGAAAAATATATTAACCATAATATGTTGGTCTTTCAATCATTTATTATGTTTTAGAACGAACAATATTCAGTAGTAACATGTCGATTTATTTCTTTCCTCTATGGCAATTCTAGATATTTAAAAGTAAGCATGACAATTTTTAAAAACTGGCAACTTTAAAACTACTTCGATATTCAGGTAGACAAAAAATACCTAATTACACGCTGAGGTACTAGAACATTCGTGACAAATGATTTTCGTTATTATCAACGTTTTTCATAGAAGTGGTTAACTTTGAAGTAAAAATTCTTGGATATTTCATGTATCCGGTTATTTCATGAATGCCCGATTCAGTAGTTCTAGTCTAAGATCCATATCATAAGGAGTACTTGATTCTTCTTCTTGGAAAACATTGTTTATTACAGAATTTCACAAGAAAAAATGTAGAGACCTTGAAAATCTGAAAACATCAAACGACCTTGATGAGTATTTTTTTTACCTGAAACTATTCTTTTTTTCTATTTAACGTTAGAAAATATATTATTCAGCATTTATTGAACTTCATGGTCATTATTAGTATTATTATTTTGGAATCACATCTATAATTTAATAGCAAATATATAGAATAATCTAATCTATTGTTTATGTTAGTGCACCCCTAAGTGATTATATAATAAATAAACTTGAGTATGACTGAAAAACTAACATTATAAGTCGACGTTATATATTTCTTATATAACGGGTTACACGCTTAATTGAATAAAAATATATGTATAGTTTTATCTCAAAATCATCTTTACCTAATTAAAACTTTTATCTATAATCAAATTTCCTTGAGACAGAGATATATTCTATTTGAAATATTTTTTCAAAGGAGGAATAGTTCGGGAAATAATAAGTACAATAATTATAAATGAAACACTTTATACAACATTTCAGTTGTATTGCTAATATGAAATTTTCATTACAGTTAAAATATTAATATACTATAGAATTTATCATACAGTATAATGAAATAGTAGCAGGTAGATATTTTATTATATATTTAAATTTGTAGGTTTTAGAAAATAATGTACGAAGGTTGTTAATGTTAATACCTAAATTAGAATATCAAGTTGATCTTGGTGCTGAAGCTGTAACATTACAAGAATCATTAAAACAATGGATATCTCTCATTTTTAGACCTCACACATTTATTGCAAGAGGTAAGTAATGTAGTGTAATAGTAATCGTATATTGGCTTAGTTTTTCTTGTTTTCTTGTATTGATTTTATTTTTTCTCAGTAAATATTTAGAATTAGATTTCAGTCTTTTCTATTTCAGAAATGACAAACTTTTCAATGTATGTTTACTTAGATTTTTCATGTATAGTATAATGTATCCAATAAATATTGAATGATTTTTTTGAACACATTATAATTGGCACATCTCAGTTTTTGTATATACATGTACATATTTATTTAAATACACTGTAATATCGAAGATTTTTGTTTCTGCTTCCCAATTGTAACCTGTAGCTTTAATGAATAGTTTTTAAAATGATTCTAATATTAAACTTGCTTGTCAAAAAATTCTTGTTAAATACTTTTATGAGTGAGAAAATAACATCTGATTACATATATTCTGTATTCATTTTCAACTTACTTTCATTTACTGGTGTTATAAGTATTCAACAGAGATTTTATTGCATTACAGTACTTTTGTAGTATATTTAGTTTCTTTTGTAGATCAATTATATTAAATAAGTATCATCTATGAAGATTAATAATTATATATTTTTTAATATGTTTACGTATCTTATATAAAGAATCAATAATACTAATGGAATATTAATTCAGAATTGAGTAAGTTACTATCTAGAGTAGCTTTTACTTCCTGAGTACATTGATTATTTTCCATTTTGATTCCTAATTTTAAATAAATACGTGATGTAAATAATTCTTGTGCATATTGAAATAGTTTTATGTTAAAAATCAATTAATATTGAAGAGTAAAATCATTTTTCCTAATTATTTAAAATTAAACAAAATTTAATAATTTGGTATCAATGATTTACATTTTCTGTATCAATATTATACATTCTACAATTTCATTTTATTTTAGTGCGAATATCAGCAATTACATCAGAAGTATTACAAGTTGAATATCGTACAGCAATGTCTATAAGTAATGAAATTAAACGACTTTATAACATCAAAGTAGAAAGCTCCTTGACAATTATACATAATATTATTCAGTATCTCCAAAATTTAGCGCCAGGACGATATATATTGAGACATACAGTAAGAAATGGAGCATTTGCTACTGTTTATAAAGAAACAGACTCACCAGGGTAAATAAAGATTACAAAACATATTTTCTAACATTTTTAAGCTATAAAAGAATATTATTGTTTATATTAAATATTTGATTTTAATTTTCAGAAAAAATACTTTTGATTTACATACAATTTACGGTAAAGAGTTTTACAATTTACCAAATTCTGCTTGGATTCCACTGGATAAAACAATCCCAACTCCAATGCATAAATGTTTTGAAAGAATGCCAGCTATGTTTTTCCCATCAAATTATAAAACATTTAATAAAAATCAAAAAGCCTCAGAAATCAACAAAGCTAACATAGGTATGTATGTTGCAGATTTAAATTTATTTCATTAAATTGTAATCATTTGAAACAATTAATTTAGTAATTATATAACAAGGTATACACATTTCACTTATTTCAATGACTTTAAAATGTATTATTAAAATCAATATTTTAAATAATATTTCTCTACATATATAACGACCACTTGGAATTAATATCAAAGATATTCAAAAAAATATTATCGTTTTCTGTGACCTTAAAATATGCCATCAAGTTTCTAAGTTCAGAAACTTATGTCTTACAAGGAAAGGCACGCAAGTGTCTCCCTCCGATTTTGATGAAACTTCGTAGGTTTGTTAAGCAGGCAAAAATAAGGGACACGTATTTTTTTTTATCGGCTGAGACGCGGGTTTAAGGGGTGAAACGAGCCCTTAAAGTTTCGACCCCTTTTGGCTATCTCGAAAACCATACGAGATACATTAAAACTTCTAATAGAAAAGTTGTATGGTTTCTTGCGTATAATAACACGATGTTAACGAATTTTGCAAAATACAATTTGTTTATAACAAAAAAATTTTTCATAACCTTAT